CTCATATTTCTTCCTACTAATACTTTATGTTCTATAATTTTCCTAAGGTTAAGTATTATTTGCTATTTTGAAATAAAAAACATCTGCCTCATTTCTGTGGCAGGTTATTATATATATATATATATATATATATTTATCAGCCTTTATTGAAGAATCTGGGTTTAAAAACTAAATAATGAGACAAAGTCCAAGCTAAAATGTCATTTACATTCCAGTGCGATAATAAAGTCATAATAAAAATCACGAAGAAAGCAAGCAACAATGAGGAGAAAGAAAATAATTCCGATTCAGCATGAGGTAATTTGGAAAATATTATGAAGACAACACATTTGACCAGGTCTTGTATGGATCAATAAATACAAATAAATAGGAAGGGACAGGACAGTTATGGCCAAGATCTTCAGGCAGGAATGTGTTAGAGTAACATGAAGAAGATAAAGAGGTTATTATGGTCTCATAGGAAAAAAATAAGAGTTTAGGGTCTCTCTTAGGTATTTTGGTATTGCTGTGAAAAGGCACCATAACCAAGATAATTTGTAGGTGGAAACATTTATTTGGGGCTTATAGTCTCAGAGGATTAAAGTCCCTGATCATCATGTGAGGAAGCATGACAACAGGCAGGCAAGCATGGTGCTGGAACAGCAGCTGGAGGTTCACATCTTGATCCATGACTCTAAGGCAGAGAGAGGGCACAAGGAATCACAGGAATCTTTTCCCTGTTTCACACCTTCTCCAACAAGGCCACACCCCCTTTCCTTGCCAAACAGTTCTATCAACTGGAACAAATATTTGTGCCTTTGGGAGTTGTTCTAATTCAAACCACCCCAAGATATTTGCTTACATGTGGTTAAAATTCCATCAAATACAGCTAGCATCTTAAGCATTTTCCTATCAGTAGGAAAATGAATTTAACAGAATGATCATTTTAACATTTTCCTATATTGCCTAGGAGTTTTTAAATTTGCAAAACTGAAATGGTGTATCGACTAAACATGTCTGCTTATTCCTTCTTGATAAAATATTTTTATTCCTTCTTGATAAAAATATTTTTATCTTCCTTTTTTATGAATTTGGTTCATTTATATACACAAAAGTGGAAGCATACAATATACATCTGCTTGTGATTAATTCCTGTACCACATGACAGCATTTTCTTCTCTAAAGAAGAATGGTTACTCACACCATTTGTTGAAGAAGCTATCTCTGCTCCAATGTGTATTTTTTGCAACTTTGTTAGATGGCTGTGTCTGATAGATGGTCTTATGTCTGAGTCCTCTATTCAGTTCTATTGATCCATTTATTGACAGGTCGTTTTTTTCTTGTTTTTGTTTTTTTGCCAGTAAAGGTTATTTTCATTACTATTGTTCCAGAACATATCTTGGAATCCAGTATGGTGAAATCCCAAGAACTGTACCTTTTGTTCATGATTGGTTTGGTCTTCCTAAGTCTTTCATGCTTCCATGCTAATTTTGAGATTGCTTTTCTATGTTGGTAAAGAATGGAATTTTTTTAAAAAATTGTATTGCATTGAATTATACATTGTTTTTGACAGGACGATCATTTCACAATATTGATTATACTAATCCATGAGCATACTGTGCCTTCTCATCTTCTAGTGTCTTCTCAATCTATTTCTGCAGAAATTTAAAATTTTCATGGTAAATATCCTTTACCTCATTGGTGAGGTTTATTCTAAAATATTTGTTGAAGCTATTGTGGAATGGGGTTGTTTTACTGATTTCTTTCTTGGTATGTTTGTCATTAGCATATAGAATAGCTGGTGGTTTTGTGTGTATTATTCTTGTTTCCTGCCTCTTTACTGAAAAAAAATGTCTATCAGTTCTAGAAGTTTTCATGAGAGACAATTTTGCTGGATCTTCATGGCTGGTAATTGTTATCTTTCAGAAAGAGAAATATATTGTCTCATGCCCTTCTGGCTTTTTTTGTTGAGAGGCTCATCTAAGTACATGAGTTATATAGAGCAACAAATGGACAAAGCCAGAAAGTCCATACATAGTATCATAGTTAAGTTGCTAAATATACAGAACAAAGGAAGTATATTTAGAGCTGTGAAAGAAAATAAAGGCAGGTACATCAGAATTACAGATAATTTCTCAACGAAAGTTTTCAAAGACAAACAAGTATGTAATAACACATGAGTCATGAAGATCAAGCAAAAGACTATGGGAAAACATTTATTGGACACAGAGAGACATGTCAACTTTCCAGACAAGAGCACAGTTCTGGTATATTCATTTGTGCCTTTAGAATAAAATAAAAAATAAATCTATGTATTAAAGGATCTGGCAAACATCAGGAATTAAACTCTTAAATGCAAATCTATAAAATTATTTTCTACATTTTCATGATCCTCTCTATTTTTAATTTCCTCATTTTTTTCTACCTTCTGTCAAGTGGGTCATGAACCCTGCTCATCATTCTTCAGGGCAGATGCCTTCAGTGTCAGAACTGCCCCTCATGTCCCTCCAGCCTATATTTCCTTTACTGTCCTCTAACTTACCCAGAGCTATGAAGCTGCTGAGTGTCAAATCCTGTAGGCAGAGATTTGAGCTAACTGCATAACCCACTTAGGCTGATGGGTAATCTCCTGTCTTTTCTCTCAGTATTATTTTTCTTTTCTCTCATTTCTTGTTTCAATAATGTAGTATTTTGGAATGATTTATTTATGATGTTGAGCTACAGTTTGGGATATATGTAGCTCTAAACATCCAGAACTAATAAAATTATATAGATCCCTAACATATCAAAACCACTATCAGAGGCAATTCTAGCTACTTTTTGCCAATTTAGCAATAATTAAATATAGAGAAGCTCAGGAGCACTGTTTTCCCACTACCTCAAGATTAGACTTGCACTGCCATATTCCTAATTATGTTTTAAGATTGTTCTATTACTATCCTAGGAAGGGGACCATATAGTCTTATTTCACCTCCATTATTCTATCCAGACCCAAGCTGGATTTATAAAGAAAGATAAGCTAACTACTACTCAAATACCACACACCAGACTATTTTATATTCATTTCCAGCCACAAAAGTGATGTTTGCTAAGAGATCCTGACAGGTGAAAGGCAAAACCACACAAAAGAAACTAAAATATTTGCTTGATCACTTTAAACAGTATACAACTTAATTTGACTTGATACTTCTTCCCTATTTTCAGTGAACACACATTTGAACTTCCAACTGAATATAAATATCACCATTGTGTCACTGATCTATTTATATGCTATATATTTCCAGCTGAATGCTGACATTCAAAATGTATTAAATTTTAAGCATTTCTAATATCAGTGAGAAGAAACTCTTTTGCTTTCTTTTTGGTGTGTAATATTGTCACTTAGGGAAAAAAAGAGCTTAAATGTTACTATTGGCAATTCTCCTACAGAGATGATCAAGGAAGGCAGATGTTGAAACTCAGTGAAAATGCAGGGTTTGCACATTTGAGTGTACATGAACACATATATATATATATATATATATATATATATGCCTTCAGGAAAACACAAATCTTACACTCAAGACTCTACGTGAATAGCTGAGTGTAGGGTGCTTTAAAGCCTTATTGTAAGATGACTAGAGCATATGGATCTATTTTTAGTTTCTTGAGGATCCTTCATACTGTGCTCCTTAGTGACTGTTCTAATTTACCTTCCTGCCAGCAGTGTTTGAGTATTCTCTGTCTGCTCCCTTTCCAGTAGGTGAGGTGTTTTTTTGTGTTTTGCTTGAAATATTACATTGTACCCCTGAAATATTATGATTACACACTTTAATTATTTTCTTAATTTAGATAAAAATGTTAACCATCCTGATTTGACCATTTTACTCTGTATATATATATCAAATTATCACACCACACTTCATAAATTCTATAATTAAAATACCAATAAAAATAAAGGAACACAGATTGAAGAGATTGCTCAGTGGTTAATGACACTTTCTGCTCTTCTAGAGGATCTGAGTTCATTTCCCTGTACCCCCATCAGGGGGCTCATAAACTTCTTTAAGTCTAGGGGCATCTCATGTTCCTTCTGGGCTCAAGAGGCACTGTATACACCAATATCAATGAATGCACATATAATTAAAAACATAGTAATTCTTTATGATAAAATGAAGGAACAACATTGATAAGTTCTTTCGTTAGGACTATCTTGGGAGAAGATGATGATGATAGAAATCTTTCCTTTCAAATTCCAGTTTGTTCAGAGATCTATGTAGAGTTTTATCATAATTATTCCCATTATTAGAACAAAAAATCCAGTAGGATCAACTCTAGGTAAATGTCTTCTATAGGGAAAGAGAATAACGCTGGATTGGAGAGATCCCTGTTGGAATTTTGATGTGTTACCTGTTCTCACTTAGCATTGCATTTCCAATCTTTCAGTCTCTTGGGGATTGACATCACAGTCCGGGTTCAGTCTCTAAAGACTGTGACATAAGATGGATCACCAGAAAGCCTGGAGTGTTTGGTCCCTCCCTGAACACCATTTTTATCTCCACACTTCTTTCACTCCCATCTCTTTTCCCTAATATATGGGCCTGCTGGTAAAAACAAGTTGCTCATGCAGCAGAAAGCCAGTGTTCTCAAAAAGTGCTGATTGTTTCTATAGAAAAATCACCTGTAGGGTACAGAATAGGGGAGGATATCTAAGTTGGTGTTAATTCCCTTCTGCCACTTGGTAAATCTATGACCCTAGGAAAGATTCCTTATTGCTTTGTCATACTGGCCTCATTATTTGTAAAATGGTGACACAGAGAGATTGCTTGAAGTGGTACTCACTTACCAGGCCCTATCATAATCTGGCAACTAATGCTTTCTGTGGGGGTTTGAAAGCGAATGGCTGCCACGGGCTCAAATATTTGAGTAATTGGTCATCAGGGAGTGGCCTTGTTGGAGAAAGTATGTGATTGGTGGTGAGCTCTGGGGTTTCAGAAGCCCAAGTCAGTCCCAGCGTCTCTTTCTCTTTCCCCACTGCCTATGGATCTGGATGTAGAACTCAGCTACTTCTTCAAAATCATGTCTGCCTGTGGGTTGCCATGGTTCCCACCTTTCTGGTAATGGACTAAACTTCTGAAACTGTAAGTCAACCCCAGTTAAATTCTTTCTGTTTTAAGAGTTGTTCTAGTGGATGATTTTTCTGCTCCACTGCTGGTGTGAGTGCAAACTTGTACAGCCACTTTGGATATCAGTATGGCGATTCCCCAGGAAAATGGGTATCAGTTTACCACAAGATCCAGCAATCCTACTCTTAGGCATATACCCAAAAGAAGCACATTCATACAACAAAGACATCTGTTCAACTATGTTCATAGTAGCATTATTTGTAATAGCCAGAACCTGGAAGCAACCTAGATGCCCCTCAATTGAAGAATGTATACAGAAAATGTGGTATATTTACACAATGGAGTACTACTCAGTGGGGAAAAAAAAACAATGGAATCATGAAATTTGCAGGAAAATGGTTGGAACTCAAAGAAACCATTCTGAGTGAGGTAACCCAATCACAAAAAGACAAACATGGTATGTACTCACTCATATGTGGATTTTAGACATAGAGCAAAGGATTCCCATCTTACAATCCACATTGCCAGAGAAGCTAGTAAACAAGGAGGACCCTAAGAGAGACATACATGGTCCCCTGGAGATGGGAATAGGGTCACGATCCCCTGAGAAAATTATCAATAATTATCTTATTTTGCTAAGTATTATTAAAATAGAACTAGAATATAATTTTAGGCTTTTGTTTTATTAGTGTGTTAAATCATACTAATTAATTTAAGATAGTAAAAGAACTCCTACTTGTTTTTGATGTCTTACAGTGTTGGGTATCACTATTTGGAACCAGTAAACTTGGGGTAAAAAAAAATTGTATTCAACCCTAAGAGAGACATACATGGTCCCTTGGAGAAGGGGAAAGGGACAAGATCTCCTGAGCAAATTGGGAGCATGGGGGGAGCTAGGAGAATGAGAAGGGGATTAAAGGAGGAGTGGGGAGGAAATAAAGGAGCAGGAAGGTTGTATAGGGGGAAGAATAGAGGAGAGTAAAATCAGAGATACCATCAGAGAGGGAGCCAGTATAGGTTTGAAGAAATATCAGGCACTAGGGAAATGTCCAGAGATTTACAATGATGATACCAACTAACCATCTAAGTAACACTGGAGACACTATCTTAAATGCCCTCCCCTGATAATGAGATTGATGACTGACTTATAAGCTATCCTAGAGCTTCATCCAGCAGCTGGTGGAAGTAGAAGCAAACACCCACAGCTAAACCTTGAACTTAACTGGGATCCAGTTGCAGAGAAGGAGGAGTGATGAGCAAAGTGGACAAGACCAGGCTGGTGAAACCCACAGAAACATCTAACCTGAACAAGTAGGAGCTCTTGGCCCCCAGACTGATGGCTGGGAAACCATCATTGAAGTGACCCAGACCCCATGAATATGGGTGTCAATGAGGAGGCCTCAGAAATCTATGGGGCCTCTTGTAGTAGATCAGTACTTACCCCTAGCATAGGAATGAACTTGGGGAGCCCATTTCACATAGAGGGATACTCCCTCAGCCTAGACACAAGGGGGAGGGCCTAGGCCCTATCCCAAAGGATATGACAGACTCTTAAGATCCCTATGGAAGACCTTACTCTCCCTGGGGAGCAGAAATGGTATGGGATAGGTAGGGAGTTAGTGGGGATTGGGGAGGAGGGAAGGGAGAGGAAATGGATTGACATGTAAAACCATCTTGTTTCTAATTTAAATTAAGAATGGAGGAAAAAATGAATACATTTTATGTGGTAAATGCATCTAAAATATTTTTATTTTAATAAATATGCAATATAAAATTAAAAAAATAGTTGTTATAGTCGTGGTGTCTCTTCACAGTGTTAGAACACTAAGACACTTATTCTTTTATTCTAAACAATCACTCTTCTACACTGTCCTTCCTCATCTCCCCTTTCTTCTTTTTTCCTTTTTTTATTGCCTTTCTCCCATGCTTCCTTTTTTTTCTACTATTTTCTGCCTTCTTCCTTTCTCTTTGCTTTTCTTTGAAACAAATGAACATAGAAAAGGATCTCTTAATATACAAATAAATTGATTTATGATGAATTTATTCCTAGATTAGTTTATTAAGGTTTTATGGATGAATACTTCATTTGTATGTATGTCTGTATATCACACGTGTGTCTAGTGTCTACAGAGGTCTGCAGAGGACATCAGAATGTGGTTATAGGTGACTCTGGCAGCTATTCAAGTCATCAGAACCAAACCCAAGTCCTCTGAAAAAGCAACAAGTGCTTCTAACTGCTGAGCCATTGCTCTCAGCATCATGGATTTTAGCACTGAAGCTTGAGTAATACCACCTGATTTTCTTTGGATGGGGAGATGAGAGAATGTAGAAGTATTGACAGTTATCAATGTCATGAGCTTAAATATCATTTATAAAGACAAAAGTAGTATGGGTGACCCACTTTCTCTCAACAACCCTTCTCTCCAAGTAAAGATTTGTTAAAGTTCTGCACTAGCTTTTATGCTTTGGAATAAGATCAACTATTATTGTTACAATAGTTCAACACCTTTCAAATTATTTATTTTCTTTTTACTTGTAGTTAATTTGTTTTACAGCTTTACTTGTCCAGAAAAATAATTTATCAACTAGCATTTATAGTCATTCTGAAACATATAAAATACAATGTCACTTTACTGAAAAGATACTTTTCATTCACAGCCAATGTCAATGAACTTAAAATTCTGCTGTTCACTCTCTACATTTGACATTTCTAACTTTATATTATATGTCTTTAATGCAAAGTTTTATTTTCTTGGGAGTTCTATGGGTACTTCAGAATTGACCTCAGTCTACAGTTGAAAACAAAGTTTTAAGAGTTTTGATAAAAAAGGAAATAAGTTTCTAATATATAAATACATAAAAATGCATTATTATAGCTTACTCAAAGCATCTTCATAAAACTTTCCCATATTTTTACAGTAACAGAGTGTGTGTGTACATTTCTTTTTATAATATTTTCATTTATTATTTATATTTTTCTTTTATTGAAAGTAGATACTTTTCATGTACACTATATCTTGATTTTAGTTTCTTCTTCCTCTACTCCTCCCAGTTCCTATCCAAATTATCTCTCCTACAGATCTATTGAGAAAATTATCTATTTCTTTTAGATTTTCCAGTTTAGCAGAGTACATGTTTTTAAAGTATTTCCTTATGATTCACTGGATTCATTCAGTGTCTGTTGTTATGTCCCCCTGTTTGTTTCTGATTTGTTAATTTGGATATTCTCCTTCTGCTTTTTAGTTTACCTTATTGATTTTCTCAAAGAACAAATACTTTGTTTCATTGATTCTTTGTATTGTTCTCTTTGTTTTTATTTTATTGATTTCAACCTTTTTATCAATTATTTCTGACAGTCTACTCCCCTTGAGTGTGATTACTTCTTTTTGTTCTAGAGCTTTCAGTTTTGCTGTTGATAGTATGAGATCCCTTCAATTTTATTATGTTGGTACTTAGTGCTATGAACTTTTCTCTTAGAACTGCTTTCATTGTGTCCCATAAGTTGTGTGTGCTGTGTATTTGTTTTCAATGAATTCTAGAAAAGTCTTTCTTTTCTTCCTTCTTTCCTTCCTTCCTTCCTTCCTTCCTTCCTCCCTCCCTTCCTTTTGCCTTGTCATGACCCGTTTTTCATTCAGTAGAGAATTGTTCTGTTTCCATGAGTTTATAAGCTTTCTGTTGTTGATATCCCGCTTTATTCTATTGCTGAATGATTGGATGCAAGGCACTATTTGAATTTTATTCTCCCTGTTGAGAATTGCTTTATGTCTGAGACTATTGCCAGTTTTGGAAAAAGTTCCATAAAGTACAAAGAAGAAACTATATTCTTTTGTCTTTGGGTGAATTGTTCTGTAACTAACTGGTAGGTCCATTTGTTTTACAATATCTGTTAGCTCCAGTATTTCTTTGTTAATTTTTGTCTGGATGACCTGTCAAATTATGAAAGTAGAGTATTGAAGTTTCCCACTATCCATGTGTGAGTATCAATATGTGATTTAAGCTTTAGCACTGTTTGTTTTACAAACGTGTGTGTCCTCATATTTAGGGTATAGATGCGAAGACCTGAAACGTCGTATTGGTGAACTTTTCCTTGATGAATATGTAATGTCCTTATTATCTATTTTGGTCAGTTTTGGTTTAAAGTGTATTTTGGTAGATATTAAAATAACTAGATGAGCTTTCTTTTTAGGTCCAATTGCCTGGAATATCTTTTTCCTACCCTTTACTCCAAGGTAATGTCTTTCCTTGATGGTGAGGTGTGTTTCTTGTATGCAGCCAAAGGATGGATCCTATTTTAGCACCTATTTTATTAGTCTCTGTCTTTTTATTGGGGGACTAAGGCCATTGATATTGAGAGATATCAATTACTAATGATTGTTGATTCCTTCATTTTGAAATGGTAATATATATCCTTGTGCCATTATATGTTGGAAGTATGTGATCTGATTTTTGATTTTGATTTTACAGGGGATTACAGTTAAGAGATTGCATGAATCTCAAAAGAGACTTTGAACTTTAGACTTTTAGATCTTGTAAAAAAAGTTTGAGACCATTACTGTAACAATAAGTCTTTACTCTGTCCTCCTCCCAAGACCTGCCACCATGTGGGGACCCAGAATAACACACAGAGTCTTATATTAGTTTACAATGCTGCTGGCCAATTGACTAGGATATCTTATATGCTAGTTCAGTCTTAATTATCATAAATCTATATATTTTATAAGACTTATCTTATCGAGGATGCCTTTCACTGGCTTCCTCTTCCTAGGATCAAATGGCAGCTCCAGAGCAGAGAGCAGGAGGAAGAGGAAGAACAAGAGGACAATTTCCTGTTTGTACCCTGCTTATATTCTGAGTCTGCCTGCTATGTCACTTCCTGCCTGTATCTCAAGACTTCTTTACTACATTTCCCAGAATCCTCCTGAACTCCTAGTCCCACCTATCTTACTTTCTTTTTGGCCAACAGTACTTTATTTATCAACCAATAAGACAAACATACACAGAAGGACCTCCCCCAT